CGACTCGACAACACACAACAACAACAACAACATGGATGGTATACCAGTTGACATATTTCAGCTAACAGATGCCGCCTTGGATGTGCTCACCAAGTTGTGCCAAGAACTCTGGAGAACAACCACTTGGCCAACTGACTGGAAGAGATCTGTATTTGTTCCCATCCCAAAGAAGGATGACCCAACAGAGTGTGGAAACTATAGAATAATATCATTGATTTTGCATGCAAGCAAAATTCTACTAAAGATCATCCAAAAATTATTGGAACTGCACATCAGCAGAGAACTGCCAGAAGTCCAGGCTGGGTTTAGAAGGAGTTGTGGTACTAGGGATATTGTAGCTAATGTTAGATGGATCTTAGCTAAAAGCAGGGACTACCAGAGGAATGTCTATCTGTGTTTCGTTGACTATGCAAAGGCATTTGACTGTGTGGATCATAGCAAACTGTGGCTGACTCTGAGAAGAATGGGAATCCCAGAACACTTGATTGTGCTAATGTGAAACCTATACTTGGACCAAGAGGCAGTCATCAGAACAGAGCAAGGAAACACTGCATGGTTCAAAATTGGGAACGTTGTACTCCAGGGATGTGTCCTATCTCCAAACCTTTTCAACCTGTATGCAGAACAGATGATCCGAGGGGCTGGGCTCTATGAGGAGAAATGTGGCGTCAGGATTGGTGGAAGATCTATTAACAGTCTGCATTATGCAGATGACACAACCCTGCTTGCTGAAACTGAAGAGGACCTGAAGCACTTGCTGCAGAGCGTCAAGGGCTGCAGCCTTCAGTATGGATTGAGGCTCAGTATCAAGAAGACAAAGATTCTCACCACTTGACCAATTGGCAGCATCAGGATGGATGGTGAAGAGATTGAGATTGTTCACAGCTGTAGTTAGCTTGGCTTCACAGTCAACACTCTTGGCACCAGCAACCAGGAAGTTAAAAGACATATTGTGATGGGAAAGTCCACGGTTAGGGACCTCTCTAAAGTAATGAAGAGCAGTGATGTCTCTCTGGAGACTAAGGTACATCTGATACAGGCCATGGTCTTTGCAATCACTTGTTATGCATCAGAGAGTTGGACAATGACTAAGGAGGATAGAAGGAGAATTGATGCCTTTGAGCTGTGGTGCTGATGAATAGTATTGAGTGTAACTCAATACTCATGGACTGCCAAGAAAACAAACAGATTCATCCTGGAGAGGGTTAAACCGGACTGCTCCTTGGAGGCAAGGACTCTGAGGCTTCATCTGACATACATACTTTGGACATGTTGTAAGGAGAGACCAGTCCTTAGAGAGGGACATCATGCTTGGGAGGGTGGAGGGACAGCGCAGGAGGAGAAGACCCTCTGTGAGGTGGATTGATTCAGTGACTGGGGTAATCGGGATGGGTGTGTCGGAGACAGTGCTATGGGCACAGGACAGAGCGGAGTTTAGGGCTGTTGTACATAGGGTCGCTATGAGTTGCAAGTGACTTGATGGCACATAACAACAGCAACATGTGCCTTCAAGTCAGAACCAACCCATAGCTGACCTTCTAGTAGGTTTTCCGAGGCAATAAATTCTAGGGAGGAGAGTACCCCTCAAGGAGCAGCTGGTGGACTTGAATTTCATACCTTTGATATTGCAGCACAGTTTCTTATCCCTAGGCCACCAGAGCTCCAAGTTGAAGCCTGTTCTGATGTAATTACTAATGGCACTCTCTTTGACACTTTTGAATGTCCCTGTTTGAGGCAAGAAAATATAAAAAAGCAGCATTTGGGGAATTAATGAACAGAGCTACTTGTCTAAACCTGAGAAACACTACTTCAACCACATGTTGTTAATATCAACAATTGTTAAGTCATGTTGATAACATGTGCCCTTGATAGAATGATGATAGTGGCCCTTTAACACTCTGTGATCTTCCCCTCAAAAACCCATCATCTCGTTCATGAGAGAAACCAACAAATTAAGAAATTTATCAAACACCTTAAAACTGTCATGGTTATCCAAAACAAAAAAAAAAGACTGAGAAACTGTCAATTATAAGTTGTCTAGAAAAAAAAATTGTGGTAATCTGGTCAAGGTCTTGGGACAGAAAAAGGACATTAGGTAAGAGCTAGAAAATCTGAATAAGGTATATTGTTGTTGTTGTGTGCCGTCGAGTCACCTGTGGCTCATAGCAGTCCTACGTACAGCAGCCCTAAACCCTGATATACCCTGTGCCCTCTCACTCTCTCTGAGAGTAAAAATTGATAAGCTGGTTAAAGAGAAAGGCATTATACAATAAGGGCTTGATTAAACTAGACACTGGAATAGTAATTACATTAATGATAATTTGTGTTCCAAAACAAAATGTCTATGAGTGATTGCATGAAAAACCAATAGGATTTGTACACTTTCACTCAAATAAAATAAAGAAACAAAAGGCCAGCGTACTAATGATCTTTTGTAAGCAGGAGAATTTGTATTGAATGAAACTTTACACAGAATATCAGTATAGAAATTAAAACCCTAGTTTACTGTTACTGGGTGGGTGGAAGGTGGGGGGGGGCATATTGTGTGAATGCACCCAACTCAGCATAAGCCTTCTTCCCTGTGATAATGTTGTTTACTGTCAGTCTCTCAGAGTAGGGATAGCTCCAAAAGTAAACTTACTGTCATCAATTATAGCTGGGAAGCAGACATCCACCTTTTTCACCCAAAGATGCAGCTAGTAGATTCAAACTATTGATCTTTCAGTTCGCAGCCAACACTTAATAGATTGTACAGCCAGGGCTCTTTTTGAATGCTGTCAAAGTCATTGCCATTGAGTCAGAACCAACTCGTAGCTAACCCTACAGCACATTTCTGAAGCTATAAATCACACAGGAAGAGATTGCCCATCTTTCTCCCTCCTAACTACTGGTAGATTTCAGTCACTAGAGAGGTGAGACCTTTCGGTTAACAGTACACCTCCCTACAGACTTTGCCACTAGAGCTCAGTGAAATGATGAGCCATTTCAGTACCATAGTGCTTTAAGGCTGAACAGTCTGAACAATGACTTTTCTTACACTTTCTTCAAGTATGTTGAACAAATTTATATCAAAAGTGCTTAAATAGGAGTTGTAGAGGAGAAACTGGACTGAAAGTCAGGAGGCCTGATCATGTTTACCCCTGATGCTATTGTGAATGAACAGAGTGACTTTGGACTAGTCACTGAACACCCAGATCTGTTTCTTCATCTGCAAAATGAGAGGATTGAACTGAAAAAATTTCTATGGTAACTTAGAGTTCTATAAATACTGTGATTCTAAATTAAGATTTTGAGAGAGACTGTAACACTATAAATAATGGAATCTTAGATCCCAATTTCTTGGTACCTTAGTCTACAGTACTAGATGAATAATTTTCAAGACAACTCTGGAATTCTTTAGATGCATCTTTATTTCACATATCCTCAGAATAGAGATTCCAGTGAGACTCCTAAATTTTGGAACAAAGAGACCATCTTTTCTGTTTTATTTGTCTTAACATTTAAGAATCTAGGCTCCACGAAGATTGTGATTTGTTCAAACTACGAAGCTAGTAAGAGACAGACCAGATCTTCTGCTATAACATGCTGCTTAAGGAATACAATCTTCTATCAATGCCACCAGGACCTCATTTGCACTGTTACCAAAATGGTCCTTGAGGGCATATGTCCTCTGTCCAAAACTATTGTGTCAATCAGCTCCCATCCCTGATCTTGGGAAAGGTAACGGTGGGGCTGAACAGGCTCCCTTAGAGCCCTTTCTCTTTAGTTCTGAGAAAGATAAAAATTCTACATTTCTTCTCTTTTAAGCTTTATACCCTGTCTTTCCCTCAGTGATTATACAGTCAAAGATTATTTGTTTACAGAAGCCAAATGAATCAGCTAGCCCCCAAAGGGTTAATGCTACCAAATTAAGGGGCTTGGGTTAACAATAAACAGGATGTCCTCCAGAAATTAAATTTAAACCACTGTGACTCAGGCTGGCCCATTCTCTCAACCGGATAGTTGTCTGGGGTTATTATCGGTAGTTAATTATACCCTTGGGTTTAGAAACAGTGTTGGTCAGTTTGGGCCAAATCAAACCAGGCTCGGGGAAAAGGGGGTGTGAAGGGGAGGTGGTGGCCTCTGGGGCCTGGAGGAATGGTCAGTTGCAGCATTGGAAAGGAGAGCTGAAAGGAATGAGAGTAGCTGGCTTACCCTCAGGGCTCTCCTGCCACAGCCCTTACCCCTGAGCTCATTCCAGGGATTCTTCACTTGCTTCATCCCAGGTAGGGGAGAAACCTACCATTCCTGCTGCTTTCTAAACGCACAAAGAGCGCTAGTTGTGCACTGGTTATGGCACTCCACTATTAACCAAAAGGTTAGACTTCCCCATAGGAAGGAAGATGTGGTGATCTGCTTCCATTAATAAGAGATTTACACCCTTGGACACCTTATGGGTCAATTTATTCTAAATTACATGGTTACTAAAAGAATTGACACATTGACAATGAATTTGGTTTTTTGGATTATCTGGACACGTTGCATTTACTTTTTAGCTTGACTCCAGTTCTCAGGATTGTAGGGTCATAAATTTTCTATGCCTTAAGGAAATTTCTAAATTATTTCATTTAACTCTTAGAGTGAAAAATGATAATGCAGTATCAACCTGGCAAAGAGTAGCCAGTTTATTGGACGTAGAGACTAGACTTCATGACTCCCAAACTCACAATCTTCCTTTAATTCCAAGCTACCTCCCTAACCACCTTACATTTGAAGGTGGACTATCAGCAGTGGTGCTTCATAGCAAGTTTGAAACAGACTTGTGCTGAATTTACTGTTCTTCCCCAAGTTACCATATAATGAATGACACTAGACCCACCAGGGACCAAGTCATTAAACACAGCTTCTTTTTTGTACCCTCCTAGGAAGAAAATGGTCTATCCTTTCTCTTCAGCCACGTTTCTTCTGTTCTTCTCCATTTCTCATAATAATTTCCTTGTTTTTTTCCTCTTTCAGGATTCCTTTCAAGATTGGGCAGCCCAAGAAACAGATCATCCCTAAAACAGTGAGTAACCTCATTTCTTGCTTTCTGAGATTTGCTTATGAGGCCTTTGCAGGAGACCCAGAGCTTTGATTAACATTTTGTTGGTAGTAAGGCAGAACACCTGGACCTTAAACTCCCGTCCTGTATATCTAGAATGTTATGTAGACTGGGGTGGGGGCTTCTTGGACATTGCTCTCTCACAGATCAACCTGAGTAGTTCTCCTTGCCTGAACAACACAAGAGGTGGATTCAGGACGGTCCATCTTCAGGAGTGATCTATTTGTCTGCACTTTTCATAGAAGTCCCAGGTCGGTACTTCTGCTATCACAACTTGGTAAAAGATCAAGAAATTTCTCAAGATATTCCATGCCATGCCTCTTTCTTTCCATTGATAAATGCATACCTGGTCATGATCCAGAGATGCTTGTTAGAAGATTAAATCATGGTGCCTCATTTTTCCCCATCCCTTCTTTGAAGGCCACAAGTTTTACCATTTTTTATCTCCAGAATTGAGGAAGAGAATCATGGATTTTTAAGAGTTACATCTGGAAGACCTTAGGTTTAGCCTTTTTTTTTCTTTTCTTTTTAAGAAGCTATAGCCTATGGAATTACAGTGACTTTTCTAAGGTTATAAAAGTCTGATAATAGAACTGAAATATCAGAACTCTATTTTAACCTTCCTCAGTACTTTTTTCATTGTTCAGTGCTGCCTCAGACAATGAAGATCCCCGAAGATGTTGGGATTCTAGTCAAGAATATCCTCTTCAGTGTCCTCAGCCACAGACAGGAGTTCCTTGACTTCAGCAGGGAAGAACATCTCATTATGACTGTATCTGGGAAGTCTAGCACTATTGGCTTGTGAAGACTCTTACTCTGCCATGTCAACCCCTGAGAGTTTTCTTTCTTAATAATTTCATTCCTCCTTGGCTTATGTCTCAGAACTACAGCAAAGATGTTTCTTCAATTTGGCAGAAAGCGTGGCACTCTTCTGACCAGAGGCTCTATCTTTGGGAGCTCCAAAGTTAGGTCACTTAAAAGGAGATAGGCCAGAGTTCTTTGTGTATATATTGCTTTGGGGTTTGTTTGTTTGTTTGTTTGTTTGTTTGTTTAAAAAAGGAGTCCTCCCCTTTTTCATGCAAATGCAGGTTACTGACTCAGAGTTTACCTCCCATGCAGAGGCTGACCATCTGTGTAGGCTCTCAGCTAAAACTCAAAGAATCTGGGCATGCAAATGTTGGACTCACTGGCTGCAGGAAGTGGGAAGGTGTGGCTTTGAGTCTCTAGCATTTAATCCGGGGCAGATCTGAAAGGTTTTGAGAAGGGTCTTTTATTTCCAACACTCACTAAAAGAAATTCAGAGGAAAATAATTCTCAGTACCCCAGCCTCTATGAAAATGACCTGTTTTCCACAGAAATGTATAGGCTAGAATGCCCTTTTACAGCTTCTTTACTTGAGCTTGTTGATTAAAAGATCTCTGGGAACTTTAATCTGAGGAGTAGCAATGACTCCCTAAGAGAATGACAGCTCCATTTTGGAGAAAACCCTTAGCCTTTGCAGATGGTCCTCTGTGGGACCCTAGTTTACCTCTTCTTGCATCTGTCTCATTTGGAATGGAATTTTTGGCCTCTAACCCATATCAGTTTTTCTAAACAGACTAGGTGTCACATAAAGGTTAAAAAAAAATCTCGAGTTGGGAGGTTCCCAACTTAGACCCCAGTCCACTTCACTGAGACCTTGCACAAATTCCTTAACTTCTCTGAGCCTTAGGTTGCCTCTCATTTATAAAATGAGGACACTAATAGTATTTCAGTAAGACTGTTATACAGGAGCTCCGGTGGAATAGGGCGTAGGAGTTGTCCTGCTAACCTCCTCTGGCAGTTCAAATCCACCAGAACTCTGAAGGAGAAAGATGGGAAGTCTCCTTTCATGGGATTTACAGCCTTGAAAATCTAGTGGAGGATCAGCTGTGAGGCAGTTCTGTTGGACAGCAATGAGTTGAGTTCTGAGCCGATTATACAAGCAACACAATAATAGTAACTCACTGGTATATTATGAGTCTTACATGTGGGAATGCATATAAAGCTTTTGATGCAGTGTCTGGCACATAGCCTTTAATAAATGTTAACTGCATTACAAGAAGTTCAAATGCTCTGCTGGAGAAGGAGGAACAATCTCCTCCTGTACCCGTCAGATCTGATTTGATGGTACACACAAAAAATAATGAAATAAAATAAATTTTTTTTAAAAAAAATGTTCATTGATTTGACTTTTTAAATTACCCAAAGCTCAACCTGTCCAAGCAGTGTGGTTCCCCAGCACAGTGAAATCATAGTTGGGCCTTTGATCTCTCACAAAGAATCAAAACTCCGTTACAGCTTGGAATAGAGATATTTGTTTCCTTAGCTTATGCCCCAAAGCTACCGAGAGGCACTGAATTATATACAGCAAGACCCTACCTCTTGATAGTCTCCTTGTGTGCCCTGTAACTCCCTTCCCGGTCCCCCAGGCAGGCCTGGGCTATGCCGTTGTCTCAGCATCTCTGGCAGCTGCCCTCCGAGCAGGGGTGACGCACTGTTAGTCTTGCCCGGGCACTTTCAGGGAGGGTAGCAGATGTGGCTTCCAGGGTTACTGGAAGTCCTGGAGCCCCTGTTGTGGGAAGAAATGTTCATGTTATCTTCAGGGAGTTTCAGGAGGTTTTTGGCTCAAGGCACCCAACTGTGAAGGCACAAAAGAAGCATTGTGTCTTTGCCCTCACTGTTCTCCTGTGCCCAGGTTATTAACACAGATCCCATTTACAGTCAGGCCTTTTGCTGGAATAGCATGTTCTCTGCAGGAGTTGACCATAGGATTTGAAGTGTACTAACAAAAGCTCCCCAAGTCCTATAAAGTAACTGTAGCATCTTGGTATAGGGAAAAAAACCTGGACTTCTGTAACCTGGAGATGGAAAACCACTTTATCTGTAGGAAGTTCTGCTCTTCTGTCCCTCCCAAGGAGCCAGTTAGACTCATAACTCGATAGTGCTCTGTGAGGTCAGGGCAAAACAGAGGCTCACCAAGTTGAACCTTGCCACGAGAGAAAGATTTTCACATGCAGTATGGAGGGACCCTTAGCTTCATCCTTTAATCCTCTTGTAATATGTGGAAGAAAAGGCTGCATCTCTTGAAGAGTTTCTCTGTGCCTCAGCTTTGATCAGACACACTTTAGCTCTGGGATTAGAACCCTGACCTTTCCTACCCTTTTTTCCTTTCACCATGTGCATTTAGGTAGGAGCTCAGCTGATTCATTCATTTAACAAATATATTGAGTCCTGCTGTGTGCTATGGCCTGATCAAGGCACTGGGTATAGGGCAACGAGTGGCACAATCCCTCCTTTCTGCTCTATGCCTTTGAAAATGCAGGGCATAGTGCTAAACATGGCTCCTTGGTACTAGCTTCTCCCTTTGCTATCCTTGCAAGCTTGACCCAGCCCATCCTGATCCCTGGACAGATGATGCACATGTGTTTACACTTGCATTGCTGACTGAGATCCAGTTCCGTTTTTGGCAAAGATATTCAGATCTTTTCTATTTAGCTCTTTCCTTGAGAATAGATGTACTTGGAATGAGACTGCAATTTGCCCTCTTATTCCCTTAGTCATTATCTGAGTGGCTAGGACTCTGACATTGTCCCCTTTGTGTCTTTTCCGTTTGGAGAGGAGGGGCTGCAGAACCAGCAAGCACCTGGATGCTGGAGGAACTGGAGGTGAAATATTTATGAACTTCTCTTAGGCTATCAGATAACCTTCAAAACCCAAATGCAACTTACTGCTATCATTTTGATTATGACTCACAAATAGAGAAAAGCTGCCATAGGGACTTCCGAGGCTAATTGTTACAAAAGCAGACTGTGACTTCTTTCTCCCAAGGAGCAGCTGGTGGGTGGGTTCCAACCCCCAACCTTTACGTTTGTGGTCCAGCACTTTAGCCACTGTGCCACAGGGCTCCTTCAGGTGGCCTTAGGCTTCATGAAGTAGAAAAATCCCACTTCTATCTCTAGCAGCTTTGTTGGATTCCACTATGAAACACTGAGTTTTTCATCAACTGGAATAAAACAGCCTACTTGGGAATCTGAAGTTGTCCTCTGTGCAAGTCCAAGCAATCCCAGTCAGGGAGACCAGGTGTTCCCTGCTGTTCTACACACATCGGCAGCGCGCCTGGAGAATTGCAAAAGAGAGGAGTAGGAGCCAGAGGCTGTAGCTCAGGATTTCAGCAAGTGTTGCCGCCTCCCCTCCCAGCAGAGCCTACTCTGCACTCTCGATCTTCAGAGAGCTTGATTCTCCCCAAGAATTCCTTCACTTTAAATGTTATCTGTTTTAAAAAATTGTGATTTGAGTGAAATTGTGATTTGATTTACAAAGCACATTTTTCCATTCAGCAATTTGTATGTACTGTTTTGTTGTTGTTGATTGCCATCAAATCAAGCACAACTCATAGCCATAGCGACCCTATGAAAAAAAGACCTGAAACTTTTTTATATCATTTCTCAAAGTTCATACTCCTACTTCCACATTAATTACAATGCCCACAATGCAGTCACACTCTTTCCACTTCTTCCCTGTATTTCTCCTTTCTATTAAACTTTCTATCCTACCCCTTCTTGCCTTCTGGACTTTGTCCTTAGGCAAAATACTGCTCTTTTGCCCTTTACTGGTTAGGTTATTCTAAGGACTAGGTCCCTCGCTTGTGTTGCTAGTCACTTTCTAGGCCTGTCTAATGTTTGCCTGAAGGGTTAGCCATTGGCGCGAGTTTATTCCACTTCCAAAGGGTGATTCAGGAGTTCTACCAGGCTTTATCAGACCAGTAAGCCTTCTTAGCACATACTATGATATAAGAAGTATGTAGTGCAAGAGAGGAAGACCTTCGATGAAATGGATTGACTCAGTGACTGGGGAAATGATCGTAGGTGTGTCAGAGACAATAGGATTGGCATAGGATAGAGCAGGGTTTAGGGCTGTTGTAAATAGGGTCGCTATGAGTTACA